AAATATTTATGAATATACCTAGCTAAAATAAGATCCAAAATATTTTTAAAATTGTAAATTGTATTTTTTTCGAAAAATACATGTCTAAAATTTTTAATTTTTAATTTTTTTTTTATATAAAAACTAAAATATAGATTTAAAAAAACCACAAATCATTGTAAAGCCAATATATTCATCTTTCTTATATGCAGGTCTAATTTATTGGTTTTAACGATGATACTATGTGAATAAATTGTGAGAAATTACATGATATCCGTAGTTGTAGCTATAGTCGTCGTTGTACATCAATAGTACAGTGGTTTCTCGTTCAGATTATTTTAAAATTGCTTTTTATAAAACAAATGTATACACAAATTGAGTTTTTTTGTACCAGACAATGATTCGTACGAAATTAAAAAAATACTAAAGACGAAAATTTGCAATCGGAAGAACGTATAAACATATTACATAATATAGAAATATTTCCTGGACAACGAAAACAACGCATATTAGGTTTGTAGCCAATTCGTTTTATTTCCTTAAAGAATATAATAATAAGCATATTATGTATTTTTTATTAACTATTTATTTATACTCATCAACTGCTAGGTTTTGGCGTTTCTAAAATATACGTTACAATTATAGTTCCATACAAAATATTTTAAGGGGGGCGGAGTGGCCGAGCGGACTAAGGCGTCGGTTGCGAACTCGGCCACAGGTGGCATTTTTCTTCGGGCATTCACGGTGTCCGGAGAGGGAGAGAGAGACCGCCATCCCCCACCCGGGCATGGCAGATACCTAAGGGTGCCCACTTAAATATTCTGCATTTATGTATTACATTCAATTACATTCACGTATTCACGTATACACGTATTTACGTATTTTAGTGTTTTAATATATACTTTATTTAAAGCCATACAATTTACTTATATATACAAAATCTATAGAAAATTTAACAAAAGCATTTGATACATTTTATAACGACGATTTTTAAACCAAACTAAAAACAAAAAGGGGGACGAGGTGGCCGAGCGGTCGAACACGTCGTCTGCGGCGCTGGCGGTCGCGGGTTCGATTCTCTCGACCACTGGGCGGCATTTTTCTCCGGGCAAGTCACGGTGTCCGGAGAACAAGTGCCGCCATCCCCCACTCCGGGGCATGGCAGAAACCTACGGGTGCTCCAATAGAAATTCTGCCAAACACAACACACACGTGTAATAACCCTACAATTTCAAACCCTACTACCTACAATCATAAACCCTACAATCAAGCTAATGGCCATATTCGCCGGGCTTTAAAAAGATCAATTAAAAAAATAAAATAAAATAAAAACAAAAATAATGTAGAATGATCAATGAAATTAAACATGTAAATAATAATGATCTCAAATTTCAATAATTCAATAGATTTCTTAATTCTTACAAAATTATTAGATTCATCACAAGATTAAGGAATAATTATAATAGTTTATATTGATAAATTATAAAAAATGTGTTCATAATAATGACGAAACTTTTATGAATATTAGTCAGCCAAAGATATTTTATAGTGTTAGATAGATCTATACTGTTAGTTTATTTTTTTCCAAAAATAATGCATTTATAACAATAATAAAAGTTATTAATTAATAATTTAATTGAACGGTGTAAATACTAAATTATGTAACCAAAAATCTAAAAAATAAAGAAGCACAGTTTATTTTTATAGTCATTTTATGTTCAAATTTGGACAAAACTACATAATAAAAAACCTAGAATAACTATTTTAGTTATTTTGTTGTGATTGTATAATATTATTCGTAGGTATTTGAAACTTCTAAAGTACACTATTATGTATCTATGATAGTATCAGGGTTTGTTGTTGATGTATAACGCGTAATAAGTCCCTAATGGATATTGTGATATGATTAATTTGGAATTTATTATAGGTACCTACCTATTATAGATCAATTTTTTTTAATACCATAGATAAGTATATAATATGTCTTACACCTAGACTGACATACCGTCTCCGCTCAGAATCGTTTTTCTTATACAATGATATTCTATCAATATCACTATTTAATACCATCCATTATACAGTGACCCACTTGTAACCTACTGTACACCAGAGCACCTTTTTAAGTGTATGTAAATCATTGTCAAAGAATGCAAATCGGGATGCAAAATGCATGTCGGAAAATTGGGTGTCGGCAAAATGGTGTGTCGACCAATTTATTTGTTGGCCAATCGGTACGTCACGAATATTTCACATAGATTGTAGGGTATAATAGATCATAAGTCTTTGTCTGGAATAATTCTGGAGGCATTGGGTTAGGTTAGTAAGTGTTAGCACTTAACACCTTTTTCTCGTCTTCATAGAAAACTTGTTCGATTTCTTCATTTTTTACAGTTTTTAATTTTAACAAAATGATTACACGTAGTTATTTACCTAGTTTTGGATAAACATTAGTTTTAAGAGTTCAACTTTTTAAATTATTTTTTGATTATTGTTTTTAATACCCGGTGCTATACTTTAGTGGTAATAAAAATACGTAATGTTAAGTAGTTAAGTTGGATTTAAATTTTAAATTTTAAAATTTATTTATACCGTCTATACAGACATTGGAGTCAAAGTAAGTTATTTAAACTAGTCTTGTATAATATTATAATTATTCAAAATAGAAATATATTATTAATTTAATTCTTAACTCGGCTCACCCTGTATTAGACTCGAGTCCTAACCTATAAGAAAGGAAATATTCAAATTTGTAACGGTAAAACGTATGGCTTTCTTATAATAAATGTTGCCAGAGAAAAGGGATGATCGTAAAAAGTCTTTACCTAACCTTAGATAAAGTCACCAGCCACTCTCTGGTTGGCAAAACCGTATTGTCCTTTCAGTCAGTGCAAGCGCTCCTGCATTAATCTTAGTAACAACCTCCCAATACCGAATCCTTCGAGCAACAATTTATTTTCTATTATAATTTATAGACTAGATATTGGCTATTATTATGTCTAATGAGTACTGATTATACTATATATCAATTGGAAATCAATAGATTATAAATAATTATAAATTAACATATTAAAAAATGAGTCGTCTACTTCAAGGTAGGTATAACCCGGTAACCGTACCTATCTATAACGTATACTTTTTTGAATAATATCATTTGATCATCGTTTTTATTTCTCCAAATGTTTTCGACGGTTGTCGGTGGTTTAGAGAAAGTAATGAGAAAATTAAAAAAAATAATACCACTTATAAGTACACGATTTCTAATCAATATACATAATATTGGTAAGGCCGCACACTAATATTGTGTCTAACCACCCAGAGGACAAAAAATACATAACAAAAATAAAAAAAAATAAAAATAATACATCATTGTATACAACATAAAAACTAATAGAATCTATGTGTGAATCTAAATTAAATATTATTATTTTATAAATCCCTCCCTAATGTATTGTATGCTCTATTTATTATTTTAATATTCCTACATACATTCAACCATAGGCATGAATAATAACAGTATATTATGGACTATGGTACACGATGGTATATCAGTATATCTATATTTAAGTATCAAACATTTTTTGCTACAATACTTTCCATAACAATATAATTATATAGGTGTTGTATAATATATTGTAGCTCCAGTAAGTAGTAATATTTTAAATGATATATACTGAAGCTACAAACTATAAGTAAGAAATTAAGGACCTAGGTATAGTTACGTGCACCAAGTTTCCGAATGTTTAGCTGCTATGAAGTGTGGTGACAATTGTCGCATTACAAATATATATGATATATCATTGTGATTTGTGGTTACCATTTGGGCTTTTTCTAATAAACACACCACAGACTTCGAAATCACTATAATAGTATAATATTATGTGTGCTAAATCCGGGTTTCCACTATATCGTGTCATGAGGTCATGAATAGTTGAATATTATATTCAACTAGGTCTAGGTGTCTACTGTCTAGGACTCTAGGTAGTAGCAAAAAAAGCCTGCAGTTAGACAGTTGTTCTTTGACAGGACCAGTAGTTAACATGTTAAATACATTTCATTATAACATTAAATTTAAGAAATATAACACACAATTATGTAGGTATTTAGTGAAAACCAGACTATACGTCTTATTGAGGTGATCAATAATTAAAACCTACCTAAGTATACTGTATGGACATATAGAGTAGGTACGTAATGAATAGGTATAGGTAATAGGTATTTTACTTCCTTCCTAAAAGAGTTTTTATACAATTTAAAAGGTCTTATACAGTTATTTATTTTCACATACCAAAATTAAATTGTTTAGTTTCCTCAACATTTTAAGCACTTACCATATAATATTAAAAGCACAATCAGGAATTTCCTGATGGGGTTAAAAGCCCATAACAAATATTTTATAATAATACTTAATTTTATATAAAAATTTCGTACATGTATAACCAGTGGCGTATTTACGGGGGGGGGGGGTCGCCGGGTCTGGACCCCCCAGAAAAAAATATAATATAATATAATTATTACATCGTAACTCGTATGTGTTTTTTTTATATTATAAGCTTGTAGGTACCTAATATTTAGACCCCCCCCCCACAAAAAATTTCAAAATACGCCACTGTGTATAACTATATGTTTAAATATATCGTATTGTACATTTATAAATATTTAATAAGCTGCAATAAACAAATAGTTATTGAGTAGGTATATATGTATAATATAGCTTATACCTGATTATATGTATATCTATGAATATAATTTAATTATATTTAAAAAAAAATACACATAATACATATTATAGTAGAAAATAATGCAATTTATTACTACAAATAATTATAATAAAAATTATAAAATACATTTTTGGATTCAGAAATCTCAGTAGACCATAAAATAGTATACTGTTTGGTTGTAAAATCATTCAGTCATTTAACCATACAATAGTATAAGTTAATATTTAAACTACACTAGTGTTACAATCTATTATTATAAAAAAGTTTAAAAATAAGACTATTCAAAATCTAAATGTATGATTATCACGTCCGGAGACTGACGTAAGCATTGAATTCTCCAGGTGAAGGAGTCACTCCATCAACGCCTAAAGTGCTTGGCGGTGCTTGACCATCGGGTACTGAGAAATTAAAGTTTTGTAATAGACAAGCAGAGAACAAAAATATATTTGATCTAGCGAGCGTTTGTCCCATACAACGATGTTTACCTAAAAAAAATACCACATTTATTTTTAATATAATACATTTTTCTTTGGGTTTAAACGCATGATTGCCACTATTACCGTATCCAAATGGTAAGTATTCGTCTGGAACAATTAATTTTCCATCGCAACCAATGAATCTTTCTGGCCAAAATCTATCTGGATTATCCCATACGTCATCGTCATTAAGTAATGCGGCAAAATTAGCAATCACCATTGTATCCTAATAAAAAAAAGTAAACTTATATTATTTTTGATTTATTTTGTTTAAAATATACGATTATCATACTTTAGGAATATGATAACCCTGCAATGTGGTATCTTTCAGAGCTCTATGTGGAATGCTGAAAGTTCGTCCCATAAATACTCTAACTGACTCCAATACGAGGGCTTCTAGATAAGGCATACTAAAATAGAAACGTTATGCGTGTTAATACATTAATGTTTTTGCGGAAAAATTATAACAAACATAATCAGGGCTTGAAATGGGTAAATATTCTAGGAGGGACTATTAGAGACATTAGTCTCCATATATTTTAAGCGTTCCATATATAATTTGATGTATAATTTTTAATGTACCTATATGTAATGTATAAACAGTGATTGTGTAAGTATTCTCATCCCACTCATAACCCTGAATAGTTAAAGGAACAATTAGTTTAAGGAGACGCTATTTTTAACCGCTGACAGAGGTAGGGGGACTAACCCCCCTGTGTCCCCCAAATTTAACCCCTAAATAAAAATATAGTTATTAAAATAAGTTAAAATCTAACTATAACTTTGTATGTACTTAGGCCTATCATTTAAGGTTGGAAGTCGGTCTCGACCAACCACTCTATCGATTTCCTCTTGAGCCTTCTTCTGAACTTCTGGGTTTAGAAGTAGGTACAGGAAACCGAATCCTAAAGATTTACTGGTAGTCTCAGATCCAGCCATAAACATATCCATACAGATAGCTAAGAGCTGAGATTCTGAAAACATTGACACACGAAAAAATATTTAATAATAGGTACATAGGTACAAATAAAAACGTAAGTATATACAATGTAGGTACCTGAATAACTTTCTTTTTTGTCTTCTGAATGTAGCATTTGTAAATACACATCCATTAAATCTCTTGGTTGATTTATAATAAATGTTTCCTTATGATCATCGAGTTCTGCTTTGAGGAATTTCCATACTTGTTGATGAATATTAACAAAAGATTTATATCCAGATGCTTCAGGAGCAATAAATCTTAAAAATGGGAATTGACTAAACAAAGCGCCTACCATATCGATGTTAGCAAAAAGTTCAGTTAACAAAGCTTGTAGATTTTTTAGTTCGATGTCATCTTCATTGTATCTTTTGCTGGCCATCATTGACCATAATGTGTTCAAGACTCCTACACTGAAAGCATCTCTCATTTCAAATATTTCACCATTACCATTTTTAGACATTGCGATTTTTTCTTTGAAATCTTCGACTAACTGAACGGCTTCATCTTGTACAAGTTCAGCCATTGTTCTTTTTCCAAAACCAAATTCTCGCAAATGACGCAACACAAATCTTCGTTGTTCTACCCAAAATTCTTCGTCTGTTAGTAGAAGACCTGAAATAGTGATTGCGATTTTGCAAGTAATAAATTTTTAAAACACAAAAATAGTAATCTATATTATATATATTTATTACTCCAACACATTTTTTACTATATACATAGCAAGGGAAATATATTGTAGAGTAGTTGGAAAAAAAAATATAAAATTATAATATAATAGGTATGTTGACGTTATAGCAGATAAAATACGAAAATAGGTATACGCTTGTGGCGCCATCTTATCAATACTATTATTTTTTTAATATTAAAAAAATTGGTCTTAGGTGAAGTCAGGTATAATACGAAATATAGAAAGCAGGGACATATTTAATTTTTATAGTTATTTATTGTTTTTTTATTCGAATGTTCATCATAAGATATGTAATGTCCGTATGTTTATAGCTTATACTATAATATTATAGTCTCAAAAAGTAAAATACGAAACACATAAGTTTTCCCATATAAAACGTTCATATGAATAAAGGTGATGGTGAAGTATAAACGCCTATACCGAACAACTCCGTGAGTGCTAAGAAATGTAATATTTTAGAACGTGTTGATTTTATAATTAAATCGGTTTTTCTACCAATGGGCGTAATACTAGTGTTTATAGTAGTTATACCTCTTCGTGTACCCCATGTTCTAGTCTCATAAAATGGCCCTTGTGGTCGTCCATCGAATTCTTCTTTTGTCAACATTTCTTTAATTGCATTATATCCACAGCAAACCACTTGTCTATCTTTTCCGACTTTCAGACCAACAATTGGTCCATACGATTCCGCTAGACAAATAGTAGCACGATACAAATACCCGGTTTGTTTCCTAAGTGAATTTACAGTAAGAGCACTTCCCAAAATCGGCAACCATTTTGGACCTAAATTAAACATGTTTTTTAATTTTTAAATATATATCGGTGATTAAGATCATTGCAATTACCTGGTGGATAGTTTTTTGGTTTTCTCATGTCCAGATATGACAGGAGCGCTACTACGACGCTGAATAGTACTAGTACGAGTATCCACATCCTGTGTACATAAACATAATTATATTATCAATGATGTAATAGCAGTTACTTTATTATTTAATAAATGCACGTGTAAAGTTTGACCGTGAAAAAATACCGAGAAGTTAAATATGTGACGACCTCAATAGTTGATAATATAATACACCCATATAACGATTATGTATGTCCATTAATGTGTTATATAAGTAAGCTATACGGGAGGTGGAATTTAAATTGCCTACTACTTTCGCTCGTCGGAAGCGTACAGAACCGGTCATTCACTTTCCTTTTCCTATATTCTCTTACACGATTTAAAACTGGTCTGTCCGTAAACATTGTGTAATAGGTACCAACATTATATCATGTTCAGTTAACATCTCCTACTTAAATAATTTATGTACCTATTGACTTCCCGATTTAAATTTAATTTTATCCAAAAAGTTATCTCATACAACACAAATTACTTTTTTATTTGTTTTGAAATTCTTTTTAATATTTTTATATAATATAGGTATATATATTTAATATGCGATTAGAAAATGAAAAATATAATATTGTGGTCAACATTATATTATTGTATTTACATTTTGAACTATAAAAATTAAAAAATCATTATTTTGACTTCAAGAATATGTTAGGCATTGTGTTTTTATCAATTATTATATTTCGATATTAAAAGTTAAACCGACATATAAATAATTAAAATAAAAGGTAATAATGTAGGTAACAATAGTACAATAAATATTTTTTAAATGTTGGTGTTGGACTTAGATATGTTTTTTCTGTTGTTTAAGATAATATAATAAAATCAGTTTATTAAATTTAATAAATATTATTCACAAAAATGTGTAGTTAGGTATATAGTTATAAAATAATTAGATACCTATTTACATTTTACAATCAACAAATATATAAATCTAATGTAATGCTATTTTATGATCTATAAAGATAATATCCTCTATTAATATTATATAGGTAGTATACCTATAAAATATCACTAGAAACTAATACCTAAAGTAACCATATCATAATACTTTAATGTATACCGACTTAGGTATGGATTAAATTAAAATCTTTCTCAAGAACCAAATTTTTTTGTTTGTATACCTATTCTAAACTTAATAGTAATTAAATGTTTAAGTACCTACCTACGTATATTTTAAAAGTAGTTTTTAGATCATTATTATCTTATTACATACTATATATAATATATATATATATATTATATTATATATATATATTATATATTATATACTATAATATATATGAAATAATTTAGTTATACCTATTTAGAATCGTCTTTAGATTTAATTTGAATTTTTGTATACTTTAAAATCAAACTTAATTTTGTTCATATTTTGAATGGTTAAAATAGTTTTGACATTCATTTAAATCAATTAACCTTAAATACCTACACAATAAAATAAAATAAAAATAGAACTAATTTTACTACTTATACATAAAGATTTAATAATTTTATCTAAGTCTATATTCTTAATAAATATACAAAATTACCTGGTACGCTTGGAGTTCACTTGTTAACGAAGAGCTGTGGAAGAGATTTCACTTTCACTCACTTCCGACACACTGATTTTATACTCGGCCCCACCGTGGCTTATCGATGTGTTATATGTAGTTTTGTGAATGGCACTAAGTAAGACGCGCATGTCATCACGTTAACCAATGCAGATGGGGGGGGAAATATTTTAAAACATTTTTATATAATACCATGCAAACAAACTCCTACCCCAAATTATTTTTTTGACCCTGGTGTACTGTTAAATAATCAGAGCTTTCATTAAGAATTGTGTAATATCGCTTCTACAAAATACAAATTAACTTTATATGCCTTTAAATAAGTAAAACATACTTATGTACATTAACTATTTATATTCAAGTAGGTATCTGGTGTATTGTATATTTATAATATTTGGTTATATAACGATTAGAAAATTTAAAGGTTATGACTTATGATTAATATACACCTATTTAAATAATCAAATATTTTATCACAATACTATCTAGGTAGTATTAACTATTATTTTCTTATATTGTCATGACAATTAAATTAAAAGGGTGACTGGAAGATCATCATACGATAAGTTAATCATTATGTCCTCATAATACCTATGTATAAGGTATGTATAATTTCTGTCTCATATATTTTGTTAGAATCGTGCAGGTTCCAAAGACCAGCACTATGGATCACACTGGCTCTATCATTTTAAGGGACATAAATGCATGTTTTTTTTATCAATTGCAATGGAATGAAAATATTTTTTACGAAGTGATAAATGTTAATTATCTTATACATCTTCTATTTAATAATATTTTCTAAAAATTTCAGTATACGGAAAATGGCAAAAAATGTATTCTGTATTTTTACTAATTATTTCAGCAAACATCTAATAACACGTGCAATGTGTTTATATACGTTGTAGGTACGTATATTGTATAATTAAATGTATTGATTATATGAAATACAAATACTTACTATTTAGTATTAATGAGTATCTAGATTATCCTTATTATTGTATATATAAAATTATAACGATATAATTATATGTAATATGTGTGTGTAATGAAATTAAAAAAAAATATTATAAATGGGAATTAATTTGAAATATATAAAATATAATATTACAATCATAGCCCATAAGGAACTGAACAACTTATGTTTTATATTTATCACAACCATTTAATTATAACGTACACTATACCTATACCTACTACCTATAGTATTAATAGTAAATAGAATAATTAAATTTCTCTTAACTAAGCCAAAATATATCTATAATGATTATGTATATAACGAATTAAAAGTAAAAAACATTAAAGCCCTGTATTAAAAAAATTTTTAATAGCTTTGTATGAATTTACATGTCATACAATAACAAGGGTTCCTCATGAATACTGCGTACTAGATACAACGATTATATAAATAGTTTATTTCCTAAGTACAATAAAGTTTGGAGCATAAATATATATCTCTGTAACAATACATTTATTCAGGATTCTTATAACTAAAATAGGTATTTGATTTTTATGAATTAAAACATTTTAAACCGTAACTAAACCACATAGATTTAAATAGTATTGAAATTGTATAAAGTATAAACATATTATCTTTATATTTACTATTTAATGTTATGGGAAACTCTCCACCACACGCATTTAGCTTACCGAAGGGCTGAAAATATTACAAGCTCTTCTTTTATTATTATTTTTATTTTATTGTATTCATACAATGTAAGTTATGTCATATAATATGTACCTAGAACATTGAAATTTATTTTCAAATAAACATATTATTATTATTATTATTATTATTAACAAAATGGTTAATAATGTTATATGTAGAGTGAGATATATTTTATATAGGTACCTATATAATATACTATTTATGTAATCTTAAAATTAAAAAATATACTTCCGTATACAAGACAGGACAGAGTGACTATATTATGTGTAGGCCACTCGTTCAACTTCGGATTACGAGCCAGTATTGCGTGTTATTCGGTATAATATACGATTACGTACGGTTTTAATATTGGTGTACGATTGCCGGATTGCGCAGGGAAAAATTTGAATTTCTATTCAAAGATGATGCTAAAAAAAACGATATTGGTACTATTACTATAGTACTAGGTACATATCTAAAACAAAAATAATTTTATATACCCAGTATAAAAGCAGTAGGTAATTAAAATGATTAAATCCACAGCTATAATGATTAAGTAAGCACGTAATTTCTATTAATTATTTTGTTTTTGTCGAAGAGTACTTTTAGTGACAGTAAAAAGCTAAACAAGCTCCATGTAGATGCACTTTTATTATTAATTGATAGAAATCGAAAATAAATAGTTATTTAAATAATTTACTGTTCTTCAAATTTATCAATCATTTTAGAGACAATCTCAAGACAGTAGTAAAATAACGCTGAATAAATACGAAAATGTTTAACTAAATCTAAATTTTTGGTCTTTGGATATACCTTACTCAATAGTCAAGACTCTGATTTCTGTTCAAAATCTTTTATGATTTCAAACAGAAAATCACTCACAAAAATCTATAACAGTTTTATAAATTAGTAAAAGTTGATTTTCTGAGAATTGATATCAGTAAACCTGTTCAATTTTTAAATTCTTTAAAATTTGAGTTGAGTGTGAAAAATTATAATGAAGAGAGTTAGCAGGTATTCAAATACTATTATACTAAAGTAGATATACTTACGACTATCTATAGGAGAAACGGGGCACAATGTGATACGGTCATAATAAGGAAATTTTTTAAGCCCAACATTGCGTATAATTTATTGATATCAAATATAATATTAAGAACCCTGGTCCTATGTAACTATTGATATAGATAACTATTTTAGATTCTGAGTGAAACGATGAATGTATTGATTTTACAATGATGTGTGTTTTTTTATTTTTTTATTTTTTTATTTTTTTATTTTTTTATTTTTTTTGTATCTGTGTACACGATAAGTAGTCGAAATAATGCTTCGATTTTCGACTTCAGTATCTTGTTCGATTGGAAAGTGAATATCGTTGTTGCATTGGGGAGGTCAAAATTTAAATTTCCCAGTAGTTTTCACAAGCGCCGGGAAAAACAACATAAAAATTAAGGAAAAACGGGAATTTTTACGCAAAATTGATTTTCCAAAAAATCGATTTTGGTTATTGGTGTAACTCTAAAACAAATGAACGTATATACATGAAATTTTCACTGGTTGTTTATATTTGCATTTTCTATACACGATAACATTTTCAAAATATTTTGATTTATTTTGAACTGTTTAGGGACATTTTCATTTTCCATTTTTTTTTAGTTTTTTTTCTAAAAATTTCAATAAAATTTTATTTGTTGGTTTCGAAAGCTTGAAAATTTAATAGAAGGCTCCTAATATGTTGTTTCAAAGACAGATGAAAAATATTAAAAATCCTTAGTCACAATTTTTTTTTATAAGCATTTAAAGTTCAAAAATTGACAAAATATGGAAAAATCACGAAAAT